GTATTTACTTCAGGAAGGGCAACCAGGAGAATTCCGACATCAAAGTAAGTTAAGCACTTGTGAAGGTCTTGCCTGGAGTTAAAATATCTAGTACTGTAAAGCTAAAGATTTCATAGTGGAGAGAAGTAGAAATTAGTATTGTTTAATTATTTAAACTGTACAATTTTGAAACAATATTTTTTTTTTTACACATTCACCATGCATAGAAACAAAATTGTTGTAAATAAATAATCATTTGTTTACATTATTATTAATTGAACATATACCATATATTTTAAATACTTGTGTTCTTAAGGAGTTTTAAAATAGTATTGAAAATTTAACTTCCTAGAGGCTTTATGTATTAAACATACAGATTTTACACAAACAATATTGTAGGTTCCCGACAAATGCCTAATATTGGGTTTTCAGCAAATAATCGTAAGACCCATCTCCATTTACTTCAAGAAGGGCTTCGAGGCGAAGAAGGAAATGCATATTCCCGACATCAAGGTATGTTATGCTCATCTGAAGGTCTTTCCTGATCTTGAAATGTCAAATAATGTGTTTTTTGGTTTAATTTAGAGTATTAACCTAGTGTATTGTTTTCCTTGTTTTACATCATTTATGATAAGATTATGTTCTTTATAAGATTTCGTATAAGTAATGTTAAAAAATTTTCTGTCTTTTTGTAATTTGGTTTACTTTGGATGAAAGGTATCAATGCTGGCTAATATCAGGTTTAGACAAGCTGGAAGATAAACGTAGAACTCTTAACTTAATACTTAATAACTTTTTTTTTGTTGTACTGAGGTTAAGTTGTGAGTTAGTGTATGTCATCAACCATAATACAATGCTCAGTAAACTAAGGTGCTGGCAATTGACTACTCAGGCATGAATTTATCAGATGAAATCTGTACTATATTGTCTTGGTAAACTTAGTGCTTCAGCCTATCATTTTGGCAACACTTTACTATCGGACATTATATATTATTGTATGTATGTGATATATTACTGAATGGAAAATTCAATAAATATGTCTAGAACTGGATATATAATAATTATTATGCTCAGTAAAAGTAAAAGGATCTTAGTGGTTAGGAGAGATTGAATGCCATATTTTCTAATGGCTTTCATTTTTTTACTTATATGCTATGACTCAGTCATTGTGCATTGGAAGAGAACTAGAGTAAAATATATTTTTTTTTGTATTATGATTAAATAAACATACACCATGTGAATTAAGTACTTGTATGCTTAATATGTTTTAAATCAGTAAGGAAACATTAACATTATATGAGATTAACTTATTAAATAAGTAAATTTTATACAAATTTTAGGTTCTAGACAATTGCCAAATCTCCATTTACTTCAGGAAGGGCTTTCTGAAGAAGGAAGTGTGTATTCTCGACGTCAAGGTATGCAAATCATCATAATGATGTAATAATCAAGAAACTTTGACTAATATCTAGATTAGTACATTAGTTATAAATATGAGTAATGAGTAGTGAAGAAGTAGTTCAGTGATTGGGAATTCAGTGAAGTATTTAGTACTTGCAATCTGTATAACTAAATGAAGCAGTCTAAATTTGCCAACCAAAGTAGGGATTGAAAATCGTTTTAAAATCTATCCAACTAATATCACTTTACTTGTTTGTGTACTTTTTATTGCAACATTAATTTTGTTTTGGATACTTCTTATAGCAATTCTATGAATAACCAACGATCCCTACTTTCTGTTAAAATTTTAATTTGTTTTCCTTTTTATTTGTGTATTAGGCCTACAGAAGTTTTAGAGTTAATGCTGAAAAGCTTGTTTGTTAACTCAGGCCTACAACTTGCTTCAAAGTGAATCTAGCCTATAGCAAATGTTATCAAAGAATTGAATTAATTTGTTATTGTTACATGGACTGGACTTGACATTATTTATACAGATGATCCATAGGAACCTGCTTAATGATAGAACACATTAAAAATACCTATTATTGTATTTCTATTTGTTTTTAGTTCAGAGTAGAATGCCTTGGGTGATACATTATTGTATTGTTTTTGTTGTTCATCATTTATGCTAGGTTACTCTTCCTAATGGAATTACTTATTTATAATTAAAAAGATTAAGTTTTTGCTGCATTTTTGTATTTCGGATACTTTGGTTGAATAGTTTTGATCTTGGCTAATAATATCAGGTTTTCATTAGCTGGAGGATAAACATAATGCTGTAATCTACAAAAGCAGGGTTTCCATGAGAGACATTGATTATTTTTGTTTTATTTTTAATGCAAACATTTTTTAATTTCTATACAAAAAATTTTATAAGGATTTTGATTTCCAGAATTTAAATGCTGCTTATAGAATATAATTTTAATTTTACAATTTCATTGTGATTTTTGGTTCTTCTTTGTTTGTTTGTTTTCACTGGAATAGAAACTTTTCACGTTGGTGGAAATTATTTTCCACTACAGTAGAAAGTTTCCACCATCATGGAAAGTCATTTGTTTTTTATTTTAAAATGATGTTTAATTGTTTGTTTCTGGCAAACCTACAAAGGCTACTTGCTGCCACCCTAATTTTTGATTTGTCATCAAGAGGGATGGCAACCAGCCAATAGCATCCACTGCTAACTCCTGGGCTATGTTTTACCATGGAAAAGTGTCATTTACTGTTATATTATAATGCCCCCATGAATGCTGAATTGTGATCCCATGGCCTGCAGGTTGTGAAACAAGAACCCTCACCACCAGGCCATAAAATTACCTATCAAGATCATTGAAATATCCCACTAAGCAAAACGTTGGAAAAAAAAGGAAGATACATATAAATATGACTGTTATAAGGATAAGAGAGACAAGAAAAACTTAGCCATTACCCATAGTACATGTATAGGGCCTAATAATTAAAACATGTTTGAGCATAAATATGTTCACTTGATTTTTGGAATAACTGTTGTCTGTACATCCTATGCTAAAGTTCAGATAACCTGTTCACTTAAAAAAAAGAATTAAATTTCTGATAATATCTGTTCTGATCATACTTTTTTAGTTTTGTAAGCTATGTTCAATTAAACAGTGTAAGAACAACTAGTCAAAAACCACTGTTTATTATAAATAAAACTTTGTTGACCAGGAATTTAAAAAATGTTGAAGTAATCAAATTTTTACAGAGTTTAGAATAGGCTGAATGAACAATGCTTATTCCAGAAAACAAGTTGAAATATTTATGCTATACATTCGTTGTGAGTAACAGCTAATCTATCCCTATCATATCCAAATTCATGATATTCCTATTTACACATCTTATGTTAGCTCCACAATTTTGCTTACTAGTTAATAGAATGCATTAATAATCTAACTTTGCCATTTTCAAAACACTAATGATGCACTATAGAATAGTTACTTATGCTTGAGTATGCAGGTTGTTATACATGTGTCCTGGTCTTCACAGGTAACAGTTAAGTCTACACCTGTCCCTCATATTCACATTTATAATAGTCATTCTTACACGTTTTGTTCATTTTCAGCCATTTTACTTAGTGGAATACTGTAGTGATCTTAGTAGATTATTTTAAGGCCTGGCATTGTCTAATGGTTAGGTGTTTGGCTTGCAATCTTCTGGTAATGAGATCAAAACCTACTGCCAAACCTGCTTGCCTTTTCAGCTGTGGGAGCATTAAATGTGACAGTCAGTCTTACTATTTGTTGGTAAAGAGTAGCCCAAGAGTTGACAGTGAGAACTGCTGGCCAATTGCCTTCCCTCTGATCCAGTGTTCAAAATTGGGGATGGCAGAAGACAGCCATGCTGGTTTAGCAGTAAATAAACAAAGGTTATTTGAAAAGAAAAGATATGACTTTTTACCATGGGGGAAATAAAAACCTAATGTACAATCAAATAATCGTAATAAAATTGAGAAATTAAAATAGAATTGTAAAACATTTTAGTTAAGGATATCAAAATTATAATATGAATTTTAAATAAAATTTCAGAATATGGGTAAATTTAAAGCCAAAACAAAATTTAAAAAAATATTTGTTCCCTGCAGGTTTCAATACTAATCTAATCATTAATGACTTCTTTTTGTTGGTATTGATGTTTAATGATGAGAAAGGGTCTGGTAATTGACTACTTAGGCATGTTTTAAAATCTTTACTGTATTGTCTACATATACAAAATGCTCTAGCCTATCAATCTTAGCAAGACTGTACTATAAGACATTATATGTTAATGTATATGATATATTACCGTATGATTTTTGGCATATACCAGTACTGAATACATATATCTAGAATTGGTTGAATGATGATCTTCATGCTTAGTAAAGCTAAAAATATCTTTTATAGTGGTCAGAAATTAAAAGTATTATTACTTGATACTTTAAATACCATATTTTTTAAAATGACTTGTTTTTACTTGAATCCTTTGACTTGGTCACCATGCATGGGAAGTGAACTAGAGTAAAAAATTATCCTTTTTTGTATTATGATTACTCAAATATATATACCATATGTTAGGAAAATTGAGCATTATGTGGGATTCATTCATTAAACAAGCAAACTTCATACCAACTGTAGGTTCCCGACCAATGCCTAATCTCCATTTACTTCAGGAAGGTCTTCCAGGCGAAGAAGAAAGTGCATATCCTCGACATCAAGGTGTGTTATGCAATTATAAAGCTCTTGCTTGATATTGAAAAATTTGTTATTGTACTTTTTTGTTTTGTTTTTTGGAGTGGCTGTAATATAACATTGTATTATTTTCCTTGTTCTTCATCATCTATGACAGGTTAATGTTCTTAATAAGATTACTTATTTGTAATTTCAAATATTATTTTTTATATGCCTTTTTGTAATTTTGATATTTTGGTTGAATAGATTCAATGCTGGCTAATATCAGATTTTCACCAGCTGAGGGATAAACATAGTGCTCTAATCCTTGGAACCAAGGTTTCCATAGGGGACATAAGAGTTTCTTGTTATTTTTATTAATTCAATCACTTTCTTCAATAAATTTTTATTTAAAATGTTAGTATTATTTTGTTTTCCTGAATTTTAACATCTTTTTTAGAGCTTAACTTTAATTTTTTTCTCAGTTTTTTAATGATTTTTGGTTCTAATGTATTTGTTTATTTCTAGTGTGGTAGAAAGTTTCACCATGGAGGAAAATATTTTCTAATAAAGCAGAAAGTTTCCACTCTATTGGAAAAATCACATATCTTTTATTTTAAAATGACTTTTTATTGGTTGTTTTCTCATGCAAAGCTGCTAAGGTTATCTCCCACAATCCCTAATTTTGAGCTGCCAACGTGAAGGAAGGCAAACAGCTGGTAACACCTACTGCCAACACTTTGGCTGCTCTCTATTAATGAATAGTGTTTTTCAACCTCACATTATAATGTCTCCAAGGCTGAAAGGGGGAACATGTTTGGTGCTAGATTTCAGGGACCCACTGATTGTGAGTCAAGAGTTGTAACCACCAAGTCATGAGAGGCCTCAAAATGATGTAACAAGGTCATTAAAGTATTCCACAAAGCAAAATATGTGTAAATATGCTTGTTATTAATTGATATGACAGACAAAGATAGCTTACCCATTACCCCTGATACATGTGTAGGGCATAATTATTAACCCGTGTTCTCAAGCATAAACATTTCCATTTGTTTTCCAGACAATATTATCTGTTCATCCTATTCTAAACTCCAGTAAGTCTGTTTATTTCAAAATTCGTAAAATTTATAGTTGTCATATTTATGTATTTTTTGTCATCATTCTTTTGTATTTTTATAAATTATATCCAATGTAACAGTGCAGTACCATTTGTCAACAAACACTGTTTATTATAAATAGAACTTGTATGACTGGAAGTTTAAAGAATGTTGAACTAAAAAGAATTTACAGAGTTTAGAATAGAAGGAACAGACACTGCTTATTCCAGAACACAAGTGAAAATGTTTATACTCGAACACCCAGATTATTACGCATATACATGTTTCGTGGTTAATGGCTAAAGTACCTGTTTGTCTCACATTTGTATTCATAATAGGCCTATTTACGTGCCACTTGTTTGGTTCATCATTTTGCTTACTACTCACTAGAATGCTTTAATAATCTCACATGGCCATTTTCAAATACCATTGATTTACAACAAAATAGATATTTATGCTTGAGTACACGGTATACATGTATCACAGCCTCCACATGTAACAGCTAAGCTTATACCTGTCTTTCCTATAAAAATTCATAACAGTCTTATTTTAAGGCCCGTTGTTTAGAGTGTTTGGTTAGTTATTTGGTGGTCAGAATTGAAGCCTGATACTGAACATGCCTCTTCAGTCATGGATGCTTTTGCTCTGATTGACAGTTCAAATTTAGGAATTGTTACAGATAGTCTTAGTGGCTTTACCATAAACAAAGGTCATTTTTAAAGAAAATGATCTATGACTTTTCACCATGGTGGAATTAAACAAGTAGGAGAAGAACGAAAATTCACAATTAAATTGAAAAATGAAAATTAAATTCTAAACTAAATTAAGGACATCAAAATTTTGAAATTTTTTAGAAATACACTTAAAATATATGGTTGAATTAAAAACAAGTCTGTGTCCTCTATTGGCTTCTGTATTAGTCTAATCTTTAATAACTTCTGTTGGTACTGAGGTTAATTGGTTAGTGTCTGTCTCACCAACCATTATACAACATTCCAATGTCAAAATTAGGTTGTTGACTAACAAGCATGTTTTTACCAGCTAAAAATCTGTACTGTATTGCCTACGTATTCATAATGCCCCAGCCTATCAATCTTGGCAAGACTTTACTGTAGGATATTATGTATTAATGTATGTGATTTTAGGCATACACTAATCTGAATGGAAAGTTCAATAAATACATCAAGGACTGGAGTAATAATAACTGTCATGCTCAGTAAAACTAAAAGGATCTTAGTGGTTAGGAGTGTAAACTAGCATCACTTGATAGTTTAAATGCCATATTTCTTAAATTACTTTCATTTTCCACTTGAACCCTGTGACTCAGTCACCATGCAAGAGAAGAGAAGTAGAGTATAAAATCATTGTTTCTGTATTATGATTAATAAAGATCTATCATGTGCATTAAGTACTTGTATGCTTAGTGAGTTTTAAATCTGTAGAAAAAAATTAACAATACCTGGGATTTATTAATTAACCTAGCAAATTTTATACAAACAAATTGTAGGTTCCCGAAAAATGCCTAATTTCCATTTACTTCAGGAAGGGCTTCCAGGTGAAGAAGGAAGTGCATATCCCCGACATCAATGTAAGTTATGCACTGATAAAAGGTCTTGCCTGATGTTAGAATATCTGGTATTGTGCTTTTGTTTGGCTTTAGTTCAGAGAGGAGTGTCTAAAGATAAGTAACCATGTAGGATATCAATAGCTTCTGTCAAAGCTGTAATAGCAAAATATTGAGCTAATAAAAATACATTCTGGGGATACAGATCATTATTTTATTTACCTTAATAGAAATGTCTCGTAATAAACTCCAGTTTGCTGTAAACAAAGTTAAGAATAATAATATGTGTAGTGTTACATTGTTGTTTTTTATCATTTATGATAGGTTATTGAACTTAATGAGATTAATTATATGCTATTCTTAAAAAATGTACTTTTTTTTTCTGTCTTTTTGTGATTCAAATACTTTGGTTGAATTTTATTGAAGCTGTCTAATATCGGATTTCCTCTAGTTAGAGTATAAAAATATTCTTTAATCAGCTTTTGGAAAAATGGTTTCACTTATCTTAATATTGAAACATTTTGCAAAAAAAATATTTATTATTGTAATTTTTTCATTTCAGTACTTAACTGTTTTTGTTTGTTATTTCTCATTTCTAAAACTTTTTTTTTTCTTTCAATGAAGTTTGAATCGTTTCCTAAAAGCTTGTCACTCTTGACACTTTTCCTGTAGGAGTGGTGTTTTTATTTAATTTTCTCATTGTTTATTTAACCAGTCTTAAAGTAGCTTATATTGCAAGGTGTTTTAAAGTTGCATGTATATAGAAATGAATAAAAATCCTATAATCCAAGTGCTTTTGAAAGACAGACCTTTTTTCTTCAGGGGCAAACTGAGAATGGTTGTGTAATCGAATGAGTGATATATATATATAAAAAGGTCATCCGGTTTTCCGGGAAATATTTAGTCTATTTCTCTATGTACTGTTGTAAGCATCTTATTTCCAGTACAGTGTAGCCGATGGCAAGAGTGTATGTGAAAAGGTGTTAATTATATTTTACTTTAGAAATGGATAAATATATGTATATTTAAAACTATACTTAAGTGTTTAAGTAAAATAGGTGACACTTGGAGACTGATTGAAAAAGATATGTTATGCTAATCAATTTATAACAAAAACAACTAAGCCCTGTAAAATCTCATACATTGAAACATAAATACGAGATGCAATATACAGGAATACTAAAAAAGAACTGTAGATCTGCATTTTGGTGATTCTGAAGGCTTTGCAAATACAATATTCAAACTGTACTATGAACAAAAGTATTTTCATTCCTCACATTAAAATCACCATGCACTTTGACTTGTCAGACTGACATTGTCGATTCACAGACATATCTTGAGTATAAATACTTTTGTAATGCATCTGATTTTTTTGTATACAATAAACTTGTACATTTTACTAAAAGCTTGCTATATCTCATGTTTACACATGCAGTAAGTTTGTGATTATAGTTAATATTGTTTCTCCATTATGGGATCCATCTAATTGACTGACCTTATGCACTTTCGGTTAAAAACAATGCAAAATACTATAATTTGTACTCAATGTACAGCATTGGAAATAATTACGAAACTGATGAGGAAAAAGGCTATAAAAGCTGTGAGGGTACCACCTCCTCCTCCTGTGAAAATGAACTACACCAGAGTACAGTCGTGTATCACATCAACATAAAGCCTACAAATGGAGAGCCAGTCACAGTGTGAATTTGTTCATGGATTCCAGGATATAAATACCACATGGCTAGTCAAAGACATTTCATGTTAAAAATTGTAGCAAACTTCCTTGCTTCAGTAGGATCTGGATACAAGACTGAAGATTGTATGTGAAACTGGCACTGTTAATAACAGAATTGGTTAAGGAAGAAAAACTGAAACTCTCCTAAATTGATGTTAATTATCTTCGGGTTATTTGGTTTGGTTGTTATTAGGCACAGAGTTATCTGGGCCATCTGTGCTCTATGGAAACTTGATTGTTATCATAATAAGCCTACTGGCTTACAACTGAGCCAGTTGGAAGCGGTATGCTCATTGAAATAAGTGATAATCGACTACAAATCATGCCAATGACTTTTTTTTTATAAGATGCACATTTCTAGTGTGACTTTATGTAAAAATAGGTAAAATAATACTAGTTTTCAATGCACCATACTGATGATTGTTCCAGCCAATATTTCTGCTGTTTTTTTATTGTACTTACAAACCATAACCAGAATATATCCTTACTCTTGTAGAGAGAAGCATCTCAGCTTGGTCCTTTGCAAAACAAACATTAGGTTTCAGACATCACTTGAATCATGCTACTGAGAGGCTAGTAGGTTGGGTTGGTGAATGCTGTTCATCCACTGCAGCTCATCTTTACTCACTTCTAAGTGGTATATCCATGTGGGATATCAGAAGCACTGGATGTTGAATCTATGCAGCTTGCTGTACAGACCATCTCATGAGGCCTCAGCATAACAATTGTCAGTTGCCCATCAAACTTGGATTACCTGCATGAGAACAACCAACATTATCAGAGGTTCTTCTGGATGTATCAGGTCACGATTCAGTTGCCTTACTGAATGAAAAAAATGTAAATCTCAGAAATGGCTGCCAAACTGCTGGAAAGTACAAAATTTTCATCAGGGGACTTATCCAAGTTAATTGGGGATCCTCAGATCAATTTGACTTTCCTTATCCTCTCTACTGAATTTTTTTCAGAATTCAAAAGCATCTCTTGGATAATATCTCACAAGAAACAAGAGAGAGGAAAATAACTTAAAGATAGTGAAGACACAAACTATCATTTCTGCAATAACTAGATCCTATTTAATGGCACCAAAATTTTGTAGATTGGGGTAAGGTATGATAATTCAAGGAGAAACCTGGCACATAGTCATCTGATCCAAGTAATAACCTCATATATTTGAGGACTTAGTGTCCACGCAAGAGAGACTGACTTGTTACTGTTGATAAATAAGGCAAGTCACAGTGTTGGAATTTACGTAGAACTAAACACTTTATTTTCTGTAGAAGAAACAATAGAATGCCCAATAAATTTCAGGTTTATTGTAATAAGTAGAGAAAATTGAAAATCAAGATAAATTGTATTGGATTAAAAGTCAAATGAGATAAACTCTACTTGGAGAAAGAAAGAAGTAAAAACAAACTTTACTTGGAAATTAATTAAAAGTAAAATATCCATTTATCAGGTAGAGAGAGGAACATTAGAGTTCCAGGTCAGATATAAGTATGTTTGAAATTACCCAAATTGTGTTTACAGACAGTACACCTTTCTATAGCTGATGGATCAGAAAACTATATCACAAGTATTCTGCTTTAAAACATCAGTCTTACAACATAAAATAATAAACCCATATTATTTTAAAGTATTTCTGCTCCACATGAGAATCATAGAGCAGTCCTCTGTATGCAATACAGCTGTTTCATGAAACAGTAGATAACTACCATTATTGGATCCTGCCACAGAAAGTAACAGCTAGGGATGAATTTAGCACAACGACCCTGACTAGATTTAGTATACTCCATATCAGAACTTTATGAAGTGTACATTAGCTATTTTTTTGTGTTTAAATGCAAAGGTACATGGTGTGCTGTGCCCCCTGTGGATATTGAATCCAAATTTCTAGCATGGTAAGCCCTAAAGGGCTACATTATGGTAAAGTGGAATATGTAGTATTTGCTTACCACAGTAACATTTCTTGATTATGAAAAAATAAAGAGAAGATGTGTTTACAGAACTATGTATATGTGTGTATGTTCAAGTATGTTCTTTCTGAAGTTTTAAGTAAATGAGTTTTAGTGAAATTCCTACTGGAAAATAAACAGGTAGTTTGATTACAAATGGCCTTAAGTAATAGATATGTCCTGTTATGGTGTACATGTGTATTGAATGTGTGTTTGTGTATTAAATGTATTTACAGAATCCTTGATATGAGAAAACTGCTTCTTTTTTTACAATTCTTGTGAGTGTATGTTTGAACTAATATGGATTTATTCTTTTCTGTTGTAAGACTAATGTTTAAAAGCAGGAAATTATTATAACTTGTTGTTTTAATGCTAATCAGATAAAAACTAAAAACGTTTTTGGGAAAAGTCTAGCAGTAAAACATAGTAATATTATGAAAATACTGTGCATAGTTTTATTTTTGGGCTAATTAGTTTTTCTTTTCTTTGTAAGTTTTCATCCAAACCTTGATATTTCTATTTCTGTTTCATAACAGCAAAAAGTATTCCCAGATCAGAATATGATGGGAGAAGGAATAGCATACGTGAAGGAATATCAAAAGGTCGACCTATGGATGGAAACTCAGGTTATTATAGACATAAAATGATTAAACCTTGTACTTGACTGTTTTATTGACATTTTGTTTCAAACAACCACTTCTGTATTCTGTATAATTGTAATATTTAACTGTTTAACAAAATATACATTTGTGGTATTCAAGTCACTGATGTCCAGCAGAAAAGCCAAAAGGTTCATGCTGTACTGTTAACCCTTTCACTGTGGCTGGGACATATATCTCCCAGTACAATGGGAAATAAAAGTTTCAGCTGCAGTGAATAGGTTAAGCAAAAAAATGAATTAAAAACAAAGAGTAGAGGAAAACAGGTAAATATAAGTGTAATTTTAAACACAAAATTCTTTACTTACGAAACTGGCCAAGCTTATTCTTCTTTATCTTTTGGCTGTTGGTGTTGAAAGCAGAAGAACAAGAAGCAAAACAAGAAAGTCAGGCATTCTGTAAGTTCACAGGTTACACACTTCAACCAGTATGTTACACACATTCCTGTGCAAAGCCACTTATATTAGATGTCTGTATTGCCTGTTTGAATGGACTACCTTCCAAAAGGTACCTGCAAAACATGTACATGCTAGAGACTTAAGAACAAAGGTTGCATTATGTAGGTTTGACCTATGTAAAAGGATGAGCACTAATTCACAACCTTGCGACATCTGATCACTGAGAATGCCATACGTATATGCAGAAAGTACACAGAAATACATAAAAAATATGAGAATACACATACCCGAATAGAGATACATTATATACTAGATATGTAAGGATAAAATTCATGACTATTTCAGTCATTACACATCTTCAAATTTTGAAGGTAATCATTACAATATGAATACAACAACTTTAATTATCTGTAATTCATCTTAGATTCTTAATATATTAAAATGATAAATTTCTTTATAGTAAAATGATATTTGACAAAGTTAGCAGTCTGAATTTCATGTAAAATGTGTGCATAGAAAATAAAACTTACTTTACATGTCAGCCACTTTTTCTTTTCTCCCTGTAGGATTCACAAGAAAACCCCAACAAAATACAACTCAGGAAGGTAATCCTGTTCAAATTGACATCAGTCATCCACAGTTAAAGAAACCCCTGAGCCTTCACCATCGAGAGAAAATTGTACTTGAATCAAATCACTCCACAACGGGCTTAAGGTCAAAATACCTTGTGCTAAGACCTGGAGTGTTACATGTAGGCAGTACCTATTTGGTTGAAGTCAGCACAAAGAGAAAAGGTTAAATATTTTTCTTTTTGCTTTTTTGTTTGTTTTTTAAATTTCAAAATAATTTATTAGCTGTTAAAAAAATCCATTTAAAAATAAATTTTAGATCTAGGAGTAATGAGGAAACATGAGTAATGAGGTGTCTGAGAAAGATTGCAGAGATGGATTTGTATGTATTTTAATTTTGAAACCATTGATTAATTAGTTTGATTAATAATGTTATTAGTGGTAATGAAATTAATATTGAAAATCTATTTACTTCTAACCATAATTTAAACAACAATAAAACCTAATAAATTTTACTGTTTTTAGAATACATGACATACAAGTAATTTAAGTATGCATTCATTCATACATAAAGGGAGAGTAATTCATTTCGGTTTGTTGATTTTACTATTTTCAAATTTACTGGAATATTAATAAAAACATTTAACAAAGATTAGTAATCCTACAATGTATATATTATGTTTGTAACATGTTTATAAAGTTTTCAGCAGGAGAAAAAATTTAATTGCACTTTAAATTGAGAGTTTGTTTGCAAACTATTCATAAAACAGTCGAGTATGCATGATAAATTGTAGCTTACTAAGCAAGACCTTGATAATAATAAAAAATAGAGGGATTTCTTGTGACTATTTTTTATATTCATGACTTCAAAAGCATTTTCTTAATAAATGTACCAGGTAAAATCAAAAGAAATATTCTAAGATACTCCATATTCGATAAAACGCTTAATGTTGAATCTGTCTACTGCAAGTCAAAAGATTAGGAATACATTGCATACTTTATATCCAAATACAGTAAAATTACAATAAAGTTTGAAGATAGCTTGAATGGGTAATGAAGAATGCATTATTATAAATCATTTTAAAATAGTAACAACTTTACAACATTTTAACAAGATTATTATACCTGATGATGACAAACCCTAGATGAAACAAGGTACATTTGTTACTATGCTAAACTTGTAATAAAAATTTTCTTCATTAGCCATTCGAGCTATCTTCAAACTTTTAATGCTTGGAGATGGCTTGAATGGGTAATGAAGAAAAACTTCAATACAAGTTTAACGTTTCAACAAGGTTTTTTCATCATCAAGTCATCGAATTATCTTCAAACTTTATTGTTTCAGTGTGGGTTCCTCATCATCAAATTTGATTTTATCACAGTAAAATTAAGAGATGTATTAAGTAAAATCAAAAGTCCTGGATTGGATGTTGTAGTCCATATATAATTGAAACATAAATAGTGAACTTCAAGTACAGTCATTTAATGGATATTATTTGCCTGATGTGAACAGCAAGGTCCATCAAGGGATAATTAATGTATGGGGTTCTTAGGCATCAAATACAAGTCTACCAAAAGAATAATTTCAGAAACAATTAAGTAAAAATAGTTATTATCTGTTTTTGATTTTCTTTTGAAAAGAAATGCATACAGCTAAAGTTAGAAATTCTATGCATTATAGATTATTTCTTTAATGTGAGAAATGAAATTGTGTGATATCTTAAGAACTAGTATTTCTTTATTTTGTAAATGATTACATACTTGCTTATGTGATTATTGCTTCTATTATTTGTACTCTTTTTAACATTGTTTTTTTTATTATTATTATTATTATCAGTAAGTCAATATTTTATTATTCTTCCTTGCAAAACCATATGTGATTATTGCTTCTATTATTTGTACTCTTTTTAACATTGTTTTTTTATTATTATTATTATCATTAAGTCAATGTTTTATTATTCTTCCTTGCAAAACCATACCATTCGTGGGCATGAGATTGTGTCTTTGTAAGTGAATGTCATATCGTCCACACTTACCTTTTGAATTAGTGTTTTGTACTGTTAAATTTAACAACCTTCTTCATTAGACAGGGTGGTTTTGTGTGTGTAAGTATAGCATAAACATTGCTCATAAAAATATAGCGATTTCTGTGTGTGTGCAAATCATCTTTGCTTGTAAGAACTAATTTTTTTATTATTGTCTGTGTTTATCAGAACTAGTCTGAACTTGTGATCATCTTTGAAAATCAGTGTTTAATGCAGTCCTTACTAGTCATCTCTCTATAATGGTGAATGTTCTGTTTACTTAACTGCAAGTAACTGTTGTTCACAGGTTCTGAAAAATTTGAAGGAAAAGCCATGGAGTCTGTGACCGTAGGCATTGGTCCTGTAAATGGTCGTTGTACCATAGTGCCACTTAGAGGTGATGAACTAAGGACGTTTTCCTTACACTGTATGGAATGGAAAACCGACCACAAGTTTCTGTTCTATGAGCTGAGTTACTCTCTAACCCCCAACAGCCATCGTCATTTGATATATAATGGTCTGAGTAAAGAAATGAAGTTTATACTCCCAGCTGGCTTACCATCACATAATTTCAACGGTAAGTTTAAGAAAGGCTAATAAAAGTTAATAAATGTAGATGTGTGTCCATCATCTTTATATCACTGTATGTATGTAATTTGTTTGTTAATTTTTTTGTAGTATATTTGGATGTTGTCATCAAGGATGGTCGAGGAATAGGAACAAAGGTCTGTTCTACTGAAAGACAAGTTATTCCTATTAGATGGAACCAAAATGCAACAAGAGATTCTTACATGTAAGTGTTGTGAGTTACGAGTTAATAAACATGTTATTTTTTAGATTTATCTAATATTCTGTTAGAGAGTTAATCAGAACTCCAGTGTGTAATTTGTGGATGCTTATTTTTACTATTTGAATTGAAACTGATATAAGTACTTGCAGGTTAATAAAAAAAAACAACTAAAAGTTAAGGGATAATGTATAAATTGAAACTTTTTTAATATCTTTAATCTCAGCTCAATATGCATGAAATTGTACTCACCAGAAATTTTTGGGTGTCTTGATTGTCAACCTCCTACCAGTAATTTTTGTAACTGCTGTATATAAATGGTATACTGCAGATTTAATAATGCAGTATCCAGATGGTAGAGATATTTGATCTTGTTATAAAGAAAAAGAATGGTCACATAGGTTTGAAACTTTTGTCTAGTTTATAAGTTTAATTTTACTGATACAGGATTTATCCACAAAAAAAAGTGTGGAGAGAAATTGTTAGATATACCTGTATAAAGAACACTTAAGTTTACAATAAACCCAAAACACCAAAGTGTTTGATATGTAGGAAAGGAGGTGCTGCAGTAAATCATCAGTGGTTCATTTCATTTCTTCCATCTTGTTTAAATAATGTATAGGTGCTGCAGTAAATCACCAGTGGTTTATTTCATTTCTTCCATCTTGTTTAAATAATGTATAGGTGCTGCAATGAATCATTGATGGTTCATTTCATTCTTCCATCTTGTTTAAATAATGTATAGGTGCTGCAATGAATCATTGATGGTTCATTTCATTCTTCCATCTTGTTTAAATAATGTATGTAATGACTAAATAGATATTAATTAGAAGGTGGAGATGAAAAATTTATAAATCTTTATCACAGAGTATCAGAAAATGTGTATCAGTTATCAATAATTCTCTCCACATGACACCATGCTAGAAAGAAAACTTACATTATTTTGTAAATTACTGTATATCTTTAATAGTAATTTGAAGTTTTTCACAAGTTCATAGCTCATGGCAACTTAACTAACTTCCTATAATTTTTCAATCAGAATACAGTAGAAAACATCTGTTATGAATCTTGGTATTTCATGTATCTTATATGGTTCAGCAAACTTGGATATATATATATATCCAGCAAGGGGTCATAAAATAACCTGGTGATTTGCAAACTCCTTAAAATTTTTCTTTCAGTAAATATGAACGTATGTACCTGAGAGTGGATATTGAATTAAAGTTGAAGTTCAACATGCATTTAATTTATTATAAAATGAACTTTTCTATTTAGAAAATCTTATCAGGAAATTTATCAGTGCTATCTATCCTATATAAACTGTCCTTTTAGGATTATTCACTTTTACAAAAAAAAATATTTGGTTATAAACAGAAAAATAACTGTTCTTTACTAATCTAAATAAAAAGAAAGTTAAATTAAGGGATATGAACATGTTGTAATTGAGAAAAGTGTAAAATATAAATACAAATGAATGGTGCTAAAGCTTACAGGTATATAGCAAATGTTTTTGATGTGCACTTATTTCACAAAATAGTTTTCATTTATATTTTGTATTGTTTATCACTTAATATTATTTTAACTTAGGAAAAGAGTCAACTTAAAGTGATTAAAGAAGTCTATACAAGATGTGGTAAAAGTAATAAGTACAAGTGTTGTTTAGTTCCGTGAAAGGTATTAGGTTCTAAAATAGCACTCAACAAAACTTTCAGCTGGAATAGGCCAATACTAAACCTGTCATTCCTAGTAAAAACAATAATGGGAAGTTTTAATATACTTTTAGATTCAAAAATTTAGTAATTCTAAGGGTTTGTAAAAGACCATCGTACTTCCAGGCCATGGTCAAGAAGCCTTCAGGGATCCAGTAATGGTATCAATAAACCTTGGTACTTTAATTATTAGTGTTAGTCATTATGTAATGGAAGGAAGACCTATGAGTAAGCAGTGAATTCCTTATGAGACCCAACATTTCACCACAGGAAAATAAGCTTTACTGTCACAAATTTCTAAGTTTTTCTTGGAGCTGTTTTATGCTTGAGGGATGAATGTGTGAATGGATGAAGAACCATACTAAAAATGGCACCTTCTATATTCTTGCATGTATTGAATTTGGCATTGAGAGATTTCTGTCAGTATGTGGGTTTGCTCATTGTTTTAATATCATGAGCAGATTGGGCTACTGATTACTTGTATAATAATGTAATTATGTAGCTAAATGACTGATGTGGGAGTCCTTATATAAAACAGCATCATCAGTCAAGGAGAAATAATTTTTTTGGAATTACATGTGTGAGCTTTTCTCTTGTTCCAAACTATTACTCATAATTTAAATGCATAAATAAACTTATTTACTTTATGTTTGTTACATGCTTTTCCATGTATTTCTTGAACATGATGTGGGATAAGGAAAATATTATTTTTCTCAGAATCATAGAAGATGCCTTTTGTTGGAACAACAAAGAAATATGACAAAATGAGCACCAATTAGAAGACTCCAGCATTAGAGAACATTGAGCAAACTTTAATTTATCTGTCCTGTTACTGGGTGTTTAGTACACTTCTTTTACAGTTTTTAAGAAGTACGGTGTTTTGAAGTAAAAAGATCTATGTAGCGACTTCATCCTTTGTAGGTCTTGTACTTTGTAACTAGTGTTAGGTGAAGCCTAATAGTGCAGGCCTACAAGTGTTATTATAAAATTATGCAATATCCATATGCAAAATTGTTTTTCATAATTTTCTTTATTTGTAAATTTCCTTTTTAAGTTTTCATTTCTTTCTTGGTTTTTTCAATCAAAACATGTCTATTTGATTCGTGTTTAGTTCTGGTGTTACTTACACACTTGTTTTTGTTTTTCCCCCCTGTTAGTTGAGGAAGAGAGAAACTTGTAATTAAGCTAGTTATTTTAAGGCCTAATGTAGAATAAGTTCATTTGAAAGATATTTATGGTAAGTAGATCCTAGTTATAAAAAAAAAGTTTATTAGCATTTGATTGGATAATTCTCTGTCTTTAAAACATGAAGTTCTGTCTTTCATAGAATGGACTAACATGAGGTGAAGTTGCGATGGTTCTCTGTAAAATTGTTTTCTTTATGTTGTGTCACTATGCAATGAAATAAAAATGTATCTTTTTACTTTGAAAATTTCTCACACCTTGAGGTCTATGCATGGCTTATCATAGGAGACATTATCAATAGAGTGTCATCACAGTATTTTAATACTGTATACTCACTTACAGATATATTGTAATCTTATAAATTATTGGTATTAATATTTTTGTATTAATTATTTTCAGTTACAATACAACATTTGATATTCGCTCTGTCTTCAACAAATTGGTGGGTGAGAAGAATGTGCAAGGTTATTTACATCAGATTCATGTACTGGCTAATTCTTTGAACAACAATATCTTGCCTAATCCTACGCATCGTATTAAAAGAAGTGCTGGTACCATCAGAAACTTGCGGATGAAAATAAGAAACAAATTTATTCAACTTGTTGGAAATTTACACTTCTTTACCAAGGTATAGTAGTACTTTAATATAAAACAATCTGCACCAAACTTGGTATCCAATTTTCGTTTCTAAGTATATATAGATGTGGTAATAAACTCTTCATACAACTTAAGTCATATTTTGATCAGAATGATATTTATGTGTACATATAATTTGACTTTGATGTGCTCATTTATTCATTTGGTCACCTTTTAAGAAAACTTGGTATATGGGACTGAGAAGCTCTGTATCTGAGCACTCTGTAAGTGTAGGTAGATACTTAGATTCTTAGGAACAGTAGCTTTTTATTTCAAGAAATTTTAATTGATAAGTTCCATTTATAATTTGAAAATTACTAGAACTAAATTGTAGAGAGATTATAGCATAATTGAATAATTGTAAATTCTAATGTACTGTTCAAAATTGTGGTCCGAGTTCTTTTTTGTGAAAATTTACAAACAATAAACTGTGTATCATTAAATTTTAAGAACCTTTTTCTTAGAATGTTCAGTTGTGCTTACTTGAAGATTATTAAATCATTGATACCGAAGTTCATTGTTAAACCATGGTATCAATTTACCACAGCACTTATATTGGTCTACTAATGTTTTACAAATTTTTATATATAAAGTTTTGAAATTATATTGAGAAATACAAGTTGATGATATATTGAAGAAATACTAATTATTAATTCTTTCAGCATGGGCTCGGTCCCTGGGATCGACCTCATAACCATTTTGTGCTGGTTATAGTTTTTATGCTATAACTATTAAATTCATAATCGAATGTTAACCGAAATTTGGCAGATTATCAGTAAACATTACAATGCTTTCATACATAAAATATCAATTTTTTTATTAAGTCTTAAGGTTTGTAAAGCATTGTTTTTCTCATGTCTTTTCTTTTGCATGTTGCCTATCTATCAT